GGGTTGCTGCTGGGGGGAGCTGGAGCCTTTCCTAATTGCCATAGGGCAAGAGGTGGGGTACACCCTGGACAGGTCAACAGTCTGACACAGAGACAGAAAACCATTCATACTCACATTCACACCTATGAGCAATTTGGAATCACCAATTAACCCAACCTCACTAACTGCATGTCTTTGGCGAGGAGGAGGAAGGCAGAGGACCCAGAGACAACCCATGCAAACATGGGGAGAACATACAAACTCCACACTGAAAGGCCAGATGGTGGAGTTAAACTCATGTCCTTGAGTGAAGCAACAGTGGTAACTATGAGAAAGGGAAAAAAAATGCAATTTTTAAATAATAAGTAACTTTATTAAGGTAAAAAAAAAAAAAATCTATCCAAACATACCTGACTGTGTGAAAAAGTAATTGCCTTTGTTATTGTGATAGCCCCCCTAGATCCTTGGCTCATAGAGGTCTCCAAGAACTACATATGCACTGCTAGTAGAGGCTTGACCCACAGGTTGAGAACACAACAAAGTCCTGCGTTGTGGACGTTTCTGTTTCTGTGAAAAAGTAACACAAAGAAATCAGGAAGGGGCCAAATACTTTTTGATGACACCGTTTAGGAGTCCAAGTGCAGGTTGATTCAAAAATAGTGCCCATTTTCCATGCAGGTGCAGTGAAAAAGGAGGAAATAAAAAAGAGACAAAACCTTTCTGTGATGGATTACCTGCTCAAACAATTTCCCCCGAAGCTTGTTTATAATATAAGGCCCATTTTCAAAAATATTATATTAGAAATATTGCAATTTGATACATATACTGAGAAAGGAAGCTGTGGATTTTTCATCCTAACAACTTAACCCAGTTACCCACCTCTGTAAAACTGGTGTGGTTTAGTGAAATGAAAGAGAACTGCCAAGAATTTGCAATTTGTTTATGCTATTAAATGGGCTACAGCATTCAAAACACCAGTGTGCTGTATTAAAATGTACTTTTACAGAGAGATTGTCAGAGTACTAGCAGAAAATACACACTGTAGTGGACGGAAGCACAAAGAGATCAAGACACGGATCATCAAGCACTACACATTTAAAAGGGCAGTTATCCTTTTATGACAGTCATATACCTGTGGCCTTTTTTTATACGCCTGTGGTGTCCTTATATCAAGCCCTTGGTGGTGTTTCTTGTTGGTTAGACTGGTGGTGGTGGAGCCATATGGCTTTGATTAGAAGATCATTTAATCTCTCTCTGTCACAATGCCCAGAGCCAGTAGACTGATTGAAATCGCAGAGGGTCTTAGTTGGTACAAAATGTTTATAAAGCACTATATCAATTATTTCTCCACTTCCTGCCAGTTCTGGTAGACGTGTGTGAGTGCATGCATCTGTGGCTTGTTTATATGTAGCCACTTTTCACAGCTCATGATCACTTTGACTGATGTTGATTGCACACATGTGGCACACTTAGGGAAGATTGAATTCATTCACATTACTGTAGAAAATTAAGCTTTATAGTAGGACTGCAGGGACCTGTGACACTGCTGTGAAGATACAATATTAAGGGTGGGATGGGTTGAGAGGCGGGGGTGTCACAGAGCCAGGTCTTAGGTCTCTTTAAGTGCACCAAACTCAGAAATAACAGCGAATAACAGCAGTTAGTGGTAGTGAAAATATTTATTTATTTTTTATTCCCCTTATTTCCTCAGAGGAATCCAAAAGGTTTCAAGGCTTACAGTCTGGACATAGCCACAACACATTTTTAAAATACCCCCAAACCAGCTCCAGATGTTGGGTAATCACTACAGTCATTAGTCACAGGCAGAAATACTCTGCTCTGCCATTGATGGAAGTGCAGTTTCCATGTGTGAGCGCACACTTCACGGTACAGTAGCCCGAAGATGACTGCGAGTCCCATCTCCAGAGGCAGTTTTTCAGATGTTGCTTCAGGACACTTAACAAAAACAACAACAACAAAGGATCTGCAATAGTTGGCATTTTAAAACGACAGCTCTTTTGTACACTCGCTAAAATATACTACCTGTAAATTATATATTGTAATCATAAACTCTAACTGCGATGTGGTTTGAAATAAGCCACACAAAAAAGATAAGCAGTAAGTGTGCGCCTGTGGCCCTCAGCCCGCCCCTCGCGGTGCCGTAATTAGACGCTCATTCCTTCAGTCAAGCTGCAACTGCGACTCTCAGCTCCATCAAATCCACTTCTTTTCCCAGTCTAGCTTCTTCTTCTTCATCTTTTTTTTTTAAAAAAAAGAGCACTGCAGTTTTTTCACACATCCCCGCGGAACAACCAGCATCGGAAAGTCCACCTCGTCCGCGTCTGTTTCTCTCCAGTTTTTGATACTTTGAGTCTCACCTCTTTCAATGGGTCTGCGCGTAGCGCTGCTCTTCTCTCTGTTCGGAGTTCTTCTTGGCCAAGGTAAGCGTGAGAAGCTGGGTATCACTGCTGCGAGGTGAGCCAAGCAGTAGGACTGTGCATGTGACAATGATTTGGATGAATAGCTCATATTGCATGACAACTTCACTTTAAAGTACTCAAAGTAAGAAGCAGACAGATAACAGGCTAAAGGGTGATACTTGGGGAAGTGATGCATTTGTCTGGGGGCTAGTTGGGGCATGTGATGAAAGCAAAGTTTGCAAAGGTGGGTGCTTCAAAGTGTTGCAGGTCTTTATTAAAATTGCTAAGGCTTGAACATCTCAAATTAAAAGATTGAAACTATTGTTTAGAATCATTGTTTTTCCTATCTTTCTTTATTATTATTATTACCACTTACAATGTACAATAAGTAGCACTGTGACCATATAAAGTGCCATCTAAACCATTTTCCAACTTTTTGTGCTTTTTGTGCACTGCATCAACAAAACCCACAACTATAGAACTTTACAGTTAACCTTTTCTACCTTTAACTCTCTCACTACTGTGTTTTATTTAGTTACACTGTGGAGTGGAATCACTCCATTCCATGAAGTGATGATATGTTACCCCACATGGAGAGTGTTAAAATGTAGTGTCACACCAGTTGTGAAGCAAAAGTCATCCCTGCCTGAGGTTTCTTCACTCTCTGCCCAGCAAGTCAAAGGCCGAGTGCCTTGGTATGCTGTGATGCTCTGTAAGAGCAACCAGTATCTCACCAGGGCAGGATGGTCCTAGACAGAAGGGTGAGATTTATACTTCAGCCTCACAGCAGGGTCACCAAATCATAAGACTAGCCGTGTCTTAAAAAGCCCACTGTGCTGTGGTCACACACAGGGCAATTTCACAGTCAGCAGGGGGACCTTTCTCTCAGCTGCCTTCTCTGTAGGGGGTTGTGTTGCAGGTCTTTCTGCAGATCTGCTGGGTATCAGCTCAACCAACTGCATAACCAAATGTGTTCCAGATAGATAAGCTCGACTTCAGTTTCAGCCTTTCGTATATACCAGTAAGACTGGAAGAAGCTTCCACATGTAAGCTTTGAGTGGTGCCTATGAAAGAGATGCACACTTCTATGTTGTGATGTCTGTCTGAGGCCAGCTCCTCTGTGTAGGCGGGGCTCCACGAGTAGGCTCATTATGCCTTGTTTACATGAGGCGTCTAGACGC